ATGTATTTTTTTTACATTTGACCGTCTATAAAATTAAAAATAACACAATTATTGCTATAATCTTGCATGTATCTGTAACTATACAGGGATGGCCAGAAGTACGGAATAAAATTCATATCTTTTGGATGAGTTAATTTTTTTTTAAACGCCGAAACATGTTAACTGATTTTGATTTTTTCCCATCTTTCAGATATATAATAATTAATTTTTCTAACCCCCAGCCATCCCTACTTTTTTTTCAAATGGAAACATAAGGCATTAGGGGGCTCGTTGAAAAATTTATAGAAAACCGATTCCAGCCATACCAAATAAACAAGTTTTATTTTTTCAATAGCAAGGTTTTAAGGGTTGTATAAAACACCTACTTAACAAGTGAAATAAAATTTAATTATCTTCAGTGTTATCCTCCATGAATTTGCACAGAATAAAATAAAGAATTTGAAACTGTACCTATCACTGCTAACGCAAAAAAGATATATTTTTTATGTTGCGTTTTTTTGGCACCANTATTGAAGTAGTACACTCAATGAGCCACTTTCTGCAAAACGAGTTGATTTCAGCATTTACAATTTTATTCTCAAATGAAGAAGGTCCAGATTTACCCATAATCCTTTTTTTCTCAGTATTACCCCTTTCATAATTATCTCCTTTTCCTATTAAGTTAAATCATACATGGAGTTCATTTTACTACAACCTTTTGTGAATATTCTTCTGTAACTTTTTTGTACGTTTAAATGATCTTGGGAAATTTCTATCTATCTTGCACCATAAAATAATAATTTGCTATTTCGCCTGTTCTTTTAGCGACATCATTTATTACTAAATTTAGAGAGTGGCATGAACATGGAACAAAAAATGCCTTGGCATTCATGTCTAAAATAAATTCGTTTTTGGACACCTGCATGAATTTCTTTCATGTTGGCGTCATCACCATAGCCCTGTCCTCGTATATTGGTAACTTCAAAATTTAACTTATTAACTTCATTTAAAAGGGCATTAGAAAAATTTGCACCCGTTGATAGTTCAACGTTGAGGAAATCAATAAACTATTCTTCACATTTGTATGAGGACCCATCTCTTATCCCTATTCTTATTATGAAAAACATTTGTTCAACTTTACTAACGTCAGGAGTGCAATCAAAAATAATACTATAATATTTTGCAGATCTTACTTTGTCTAAAATATTATTTTGAACTTTTCTCCTAAACAATAAGATTACATCATTTTGAATGTCATTACTTAAATAATGAACACTTTTCTCATGCATTGAAGCTTTTCTCAAATGTTCAACAGAATCAAATTTACCTAAAAATTCCATAATTTTTTAAAAAATTTCATCGTTAGGTTGTAAAACTTTATCTGATCTATCTCTAAGAGGAAGTATTTGAGTTGCACATAACTGTATGACAGCAATAATTCTATTCAAAACGTCGCTCCAATATTGTCTTTGTATATTTAATATGCGCTGATGTTCCTGATCAATGGTTTTATTTACTTTTAACCTCTTGTCCATTTCCTTCCACTTTTGATAACATTCCATGTGACTGCTAAAAGTTTCGTGGGCTTTTAACCTTCTTGAATTATTTCTCCAATCTCTCTACCCGTTGAACCAGTTAAAAGAATTTAAGTCAGGATTTTTTAAAAGTTAACAACAAAAACAATATGCTGCATTAGAACTTCGTGAATATAATAACAATTTTCTTTTAAGCAACTCACCATTGGACAATTTTCGATATTTGCCTTGGTCCTTTTTCGACAATAATTTGATGTTCCAGACAATTTAAATTTTTCCAAGTTGCCGGATCTTCGTTGTACTGTCGAATTGTTCGATTTGAATTGATATCAATATCAAACTCATTAGATTCATCAACGTCAATTCTAGTTTTTCTGTTTGGCTAGATAAGTTTTCAATTTCTATTGAAGATGGAGATTCTCAATCATCAACTATATTTTCAGTGGAAGTGGACGTAGAAGGCTTAATAAATTTTTACATGACACCACTCAGACTTTTTTGTTCATTTTCTTTGGTTAATCTCTTTTGTTTATAGGCAAATCCTGATAGCTTTTTTCTTTGAATTTCACTCATTTTTTTATTATTCATTCACTCAGGCATCTACAAAAAAGCAGTCTAACAGCATATTACGTATTAACGCTTAAATGTATTTTTACAGGAAAAAAGTAGTTGTTGAGAACTCAGTTTTTCAAAAACATTTGGCAACGTCAGTTTCTCCCGCGAGTCTAAAAATCAGCAGAAGCAGCAAAACAACTCTGTTGTCAATGCAAGTTAACGTTAAGTACGCAGCATGTGTTTATATTTAAATTAATTTACTTAAATGTATACCATGATTAAATAATAAATAACACTATAATTTCTCTTTGGCTGGGATATCAACATAAAACCTTAACAATTTCCATAAAATACTGTAATGACAATACGCTTGCAAAATCAGAATATTTTCGTATAGGACTATCTGCGCCACTAGTTGCGCAAGAGTATTGATACTGCAGTATTTTGTAGGAAGGACACAATATAACACGTTGACTGCGAGATAATCTCAATGTACCTTGTCCGTGAATGCGATACATATCTTCGGGGATATGTAACAAAACTTTTTTTGTGTGCGGTACATATCCCTGGGGATATGTAATCTTTTTACATTTGACCCTCTATAAAATGAAAAATAACACAATTATTGCTATAAACTTGCAAGTATCTGTAACTATATATCCTAGGATGCTAACGTTTTCATTCGCAAAGAGTTTTGAATAGAAAAAAATAGAAAAATCGTTATTTCTGGTTTGAGTATTATTTTGTACGATTTTTTTTTGATAACTGGACACAATAAACTAGAAATAAGGAGTACTTCATATAAAGAATCGAACATAACCTCCGTGCAACAACACCCACCTTCGGTGGTTCGTGATATTGCTCACTATCGAATAAATACATATCCCAGGAGATATGTGCCGTATATTAGTTATATTATATTACTTCTATGCGATACATATCTCCCGGGATATGCATATTGACAGCAAGGCTAATATGTAAAAATTGGAAGCCTCATTCAAAAGCTATTTGATTCTTTGAAATCGGCCAAAAACTACAGATTCTGCAACTTCCACAAGATACAGTAAAAATGTGATTATTGAGATTCGCATATTTCTTATAATGAGTACATACGCCCCGAGGTATGTACCGTAGTCAACGTGTTAATACGGTTTTTCTTGAAAACCATAACGTTTTTTAAAATTTAACACGAGTAAAAAAAATGTTAAATAAAATTCAGCTGTGAACTAATATTATTTTTTCAATTCGGTCAATGAAAAAATAGTTTGGTACAATTTTAGGGGTAGGTCATCCCTAATGAACACCTTGTTGTGCTGCAATTAATTTCCCTACATGCACCTGCCCTGTGTCGGTTCTTATGCGGGACACCTGGCATATCGTTAAATGAAAAATGCACTAGCTTAAAAACAATGCAAACAAATAAAATTTTCCGAAAACTGTTTAGTGAGTACAGAATTGAATAAAAAATCATCAAAATTATTATGGCATTTTCCGAAACTTTAAGAAATAATATTACATTTGTCTTTTCTTATATAAAATATCAAATTTGTCATTTATCATTACTTTTTAACGATTGGCAATGTAAAATTTAAATAATCAATTTTCCACATTAAGGTAATACCTACGTTGCTTAAACTGTTACAATAGGACAATAAAAATTATAAATATCTTAAATATTAATGATAAATTGGTAATTAATCAAATCTAAGGGTGTCTATCCTATGCCTTCTTGATCCTAACAGCTTGAAAACTCAAATTTTCTGGGAAAGCGTCAGTCTGGACTTCCCAATACATAAAGTAGAATCTGTTAAAAAATGCATCCCGTCACACTGTAGATAAATCCGACGAACGGAAAAGTTACATAAGCATCTCTAATTGTTGCAGATGCGCAAATACCGTGGAAGATCCACATGCTGCGTACAAAAGGCAAACACAGCAAGAAATTCGCGTATTAAAATGTACACACCAATAAATAATAATCCCGTCGTAGGGTATTTGCTTTGAGAACGGTGGCGTGGAAAATTCGTGAACGCAATAAATCGCGGGCGTGCATTCGCCAAGCGTTCAACTTTTACTCACCTTCGCGTTCTCCTTATCTGAGGAATTCTGCTTGCTGTGAATGTGCGCCAGGTGGATAAGGCTGGTGCTCTTCGATATCCTGGAATGAGTAAAGCAACTGATAACACTAGATAACTTTAATAAGTAAATGATTTGTCGAAAAAAAAGTGGGTAGCGTAATGTTTTACACGATTGAGCAGGAAATATGCGAAATATTCCCTACTGCAGTAATTGAGTTGGTCTGTTGAGAAATCAAAATTAGCCATCTTCAAATCCAAATGATAATTTTAAGATGTTACTGTTGGTATACCAAGTCATCAGTCTTGTAAACCAATTTTTAAAGAACTGAAGATTTTACAATACCTTTATTTGACATATACAGTGTCCCCCTAAAGTCGTGCACAAATTCATTATTAGGTAAACAAAAGAAATGATTAAAAATCCCGAAACAGGTCGATTTTTGAATTTAATTTACTATTTTTTCAAATAATAATTTAATATACAGGTGGGGAATACCCCACTTTTTTCCAATTTTCGGATTGTTCTAACTGAGCTGATTCCAAAAATATACAAGTTGCTTCTAATTGTTACAGGGAGGACAACAATACCCAAATTATTTACAAATACTAAATTTATTTACAAATAAATAAACGTACTAAAATTTGAATCAAATCACCACATATCATTTTAAAATGTCTTTATTTTTTGCTATAATTTCTTTGATGCTTTTTTAATTTTATCTGCCTGATAGAACGTGCTCGTGTATTTCTTGCAGGCAATCATTTTTAAATAGTTTGTTAAGATTGTACAAGTAAATCCATTTTGAATGATTCTTCCTTAAAATATTGAGTATTTTTTAATTAATTAAAAAACATGATTCTAAGTGAAACCGAACGGATTGAAATTCTTATGATGATCGGATATGGTGATAGAATTCGAACTCATGAGGAAGTTTGTGTTTTGTTTAATGAAATTCATCCCAATCGTCCACCAATAAATCGATCCACGGTTAGCCGAACTGAAGCAAAGTTTCGAAATCATGGTCATGTTAAAGATATGCCCAGATCTGGCCGACCGACTGTAGATGAAGAAGTGCAGTTACAAGCCCTTTTGACCATTCATGAAAACCCGCAATCCAGTCTGAGAGTCGTAGCAGATAATTTAGGAATGAGTGAAAGTACATTGAGTAGACTTCTTCACAGAAACAAGTATCATCCCTACAAAGTCCACTTAGTACAAGAATTATGTGACGATGATTTCGACAGACGCACAGAATTTTGCGAAATGATGATGGAAGAATGTCAGGCAGATCCGGATTTTGTGAAACGCATAATTTTCTCCGACGAGGCGTCTTTTTATTTGAATGGCACCGTCAATAAACAGAATTGTCGGTACTGGTCAGATCGCAATCCACATTGGATGATGGAAGCACACACTCAGCATCCCCAAAAGGTCAATGTTTGGGCCGGAATTGTTGGTAATCGAATTTTGGGGCCGTATTTCTTTGAAGGAAATTTAGATGG